CCGGATTCACATAGCACTGCATTGCTCAATCAACCAAAAGGGAACACAACGAGGCAGGGACAAAACACTAGGAGCCAGTAGATCACTGGGTGGAAGAGAACAACTGTGAAGTCAGACAGATGTGGGTTTCAACAGCCCTAGTTCTGCTACTTCTTTGATTTATGATACTGCCACTATCTATTTTTAACTTACAAAAATGGCATTGGTGGGTCCGTGCCTGTAAGCCCAGCACTCTGGGAAGCTGAAGCAGAAGGGTGACAAGTTTGCACCCAGCCTGGGCAATTTCGTGACTTAGAAAGACCATGTCTCAAAATAAAACATAAATACAATACAATACAATACAATACAATACAATACAATACAATCCTGGAAAGGTAGCTCAAAGCAAAGGCCCTGGGTTCAACCTGCAGACCAGGAAAAAAATAAAGGCAAGTGTGTGTGGTTCCACCTAGTGGCTGAGTGACGTAGGCAGCTGGCCTGCACTCGAAGCTTCCATCTCTGCGACTGCAAAAGGTTGTGCCCCTTTAAAATTCATACCTGGAATTCTGAATCCCAAGCCTCGCGATGTGACTTTATTTGGAGACAATGCTTTAATACAGGTAATCAAGTTAAGGTGAGGTCTTAAAAGTGAGCCCTAACTCACAATGACTGCTTAAAAAGGGAAAAGCTGGACACAGTGCCATTCCTAGAAGGAAGATTATGTCAAGAGACAGAAAAGACAGTCATCTGCAAGCCAAGGAGAAAGGCCTGAAGATCCCTCCCTTACAGCCTCAGAGGGAACCCACCGCTTCCCCGGTAAATTGACGCCCTTTTTCTACAGCCCTCTGTGTCAAACACATGTCTTCTAGCATAGCCTGCCAGGTGAGGAAGCTGAAGGACAGGAGGAATATTCACCCCGTATCTCACACCCATAACTCCCCGCAACCTCTCTCTGCCATTGTGAGCGTTAAACCAGGGCCTATGCACAACATTACCAACCCTTTTTTATTCTGATGCAGGATCTTGCTAAGTTACCCAGGCTGGGCTTGAACTTGCAATCCTGCTGCCTCAGCCTCCCAGAGTGCAGAGATTACAGGCGTGAGTCACCGTGCCAGCTTACATCAACCCCTCTGGAGGACACCCTCAAGACGATCTCAATACGTATTCCAAAGTCCAGGTCACAATGTGCCTCCCTCCTACATGTTACTCGGAGTGTGTACTTTTAAACTTTTGCCTAATAAGCCTCTCCATACCTCTCACTGATTTGTCTTGAAAATTCTTTTTCTGTAACAGAGGTCAGTGAACCCGTAACCTGCCCCAAGGGAGGGGTGAGTTAAGGTCTCCATTGCCCATCTGGACGACTTCCTCTCTCCCTGTCCCTAACAGTGTGAGTACTGACAACTTGAAGGTGTCTAAATTCCCTAACAATGAGATTCCACGTCTAGAAAGCAGAAAGCGAGGCTCTGCCCCATGAAAGATGGCTGATGTTACCAAACTTCAAACTGTACATCTACCAGAAACCTGGTCGTCACAGCAAGAAACAAACCCCGGCAGATAGTGCTCATCAGGGGAGACTCCGAGCTGTAAGGGTGGGCAAACAGGTGGGGGCTGAGGAGCAGGAACTCCGGATGGAGAGCAGGCTCTACATACGCCTTCCTGCATCCCCACTAGACATTGCTCATGGATCACCACATCCCTGCTCAACACACAACGCCTGCAGCACCCAGGAATACTTGACTTCAGGCAGCCACTATCAGTTGATCAGAGCTGGCCCTTAAGAAAAACCTGTTTGCTCACCCGAATTTCCCTCCGTAGACTGTAACAAGTCAGTGATTATTGTAAAAATCACATGACATTTGGGAGTTAAGGGTTATGCAACCTTGGGGAAATCACTGAAAACCTTTGAATCTCTGTTTCGTTATCTGTGAAAGGGGGCCAGCTGGTAATACTTCCCGTAGGAGTTGTGTTGGGTGGAAGTACCTTGTCCAGTGTCTAGCAAACACAAAGCCCCTAATGAATGTTTGCTGGATCTGAAACAAGGGCGATGTGAGATGCCCTGGAGAAAACTCCTTGCCAATCAGGCTACAAACTTTTTTTTTTTTTTTTTTTTTTTTTGGTTTTTCTCCGGTACCGGGAACCGAACTCACGACCTTGCACATGCAGGCAGGGGCTTTTGCCGCTGAGCTAAATCCCCAGCCCCCTCAGGCTACAAACTAATTCATCTGAGCAAGCTCAGGTTCCGTGTTTTCATACCCGAAGGAGCCCGGGAGCAGATGCTGCACCAGAAACAAAACTAATGCCAGAAAGGCAGGTCAACAGACAGTTAGGGGCATCAGAACAAGGCACGCTCGAGTCAGAAGGAAATGCCACTTCTCATCCCTCTGCAATTGTCTACATGTCTATGTTCCTGCAAAACTCACCTGGTGAAACCTAGCCCTGAATATGACTGTATGAGGAGGTGGGACCTTTGAGAAGTGATTGGGTCATGAGGGCACTGCCCTTATAATGGGATCAATGTCAAAATAAGAGGCCCCAGCAAGAAGGCGCAGGTATAAAGGAGGCCCTCACCAGACACTGAATCAGCTACCGCCTTGATCTTGGACTTCCCAGCATCCAGAACTGTAAGAAATAAAGTTTTAAGCCAAATGTGATAGACTCTCTTCTGTAATTCCAGCACTCTGGGAAGCTGAGGCAGCAGGATTGCAAGTTCAAGCCCAGCCTGGGCAACTTAAGTGATCCAATGAGACCCTGTCTCAAAATAAAAAATTAAAAAAGGGAAGGGAATATAGCTCAGTGTGAAGGCCCTAGGTTCAATCCCCAAAACAGCCAAAACAAAAAGCTGGGAGTGGCTTGTTCCTCACTGATAGAGTGCTTGCCTAGCATCCTCAAGGCCCTAGATCAATCCCTAGCAGGGAAGGAAGGAAGGAAGGAAGGAAGGAAGGAAGGAAGGAAGAGAAGGAAGGGAAGG